GTTATCCTGGCCCAGGACAATAATAAAATCACAGGACAGCGAGCAGGACGCCGGGCACTTAATTAGAAAACGTTTAATGCCCCCAGTGATATCCTTGCGGCATTCGACTCCTTCAACCGGAAGCCATTTCGGGATTCTAGCAAAAAGAAGAGTTGCCATTGGTATGCGAAAGCTGCCTCTCCTTCGCTTCATTCGAGCAAAGAGAACTCCAAGAAGAGCTCACAGGAGACAATCTAATTTTCCAACTAATTTAGTTAAAGTGCTCAATAGTTGAGTTATGTATTTGGCGCAGGCCATTGATTAGAAATAAAGTTTTCAGAGAACCGAACGAAGGGCTATCTATTCTGGTAAGTTGTAAAAATACTTTCGTCTGCAATCATATTTTTAATGAAATTAGGAAATAAACTTTCGGAGAGTCTTGTAGATATGGATGGAGAAGCAGAAGGAGACATGAAGACACTTTCTGCCCAAATGAATGCAATTAAAAGTTGAATGGGAATCGAACTTTTCCAGTTCCAAAGACAGAAATTCCCATCTCCTTTCCTATAAAAAACCCAAACCCCGATTCCAAGATATGATCTAGGAATCAGAACAGAACAAGCGTGTCAAACCGCAAAAAAATGCGCCGCATGAATATATTAACGATATGACAAAAGCCGAGGGAAATGCCGGAAAAATCCTGGCCGGGGGATACAGATACAGATACATTAAGTGGCAACAATACGAAGAGCAGGGAAAATTAAAAGGGTCACTTTACAAGGACTTAAATTTATATTCAAAAAAAGCAAATGAAAAGGCAAAAACAACACAAAGAGAAATGAGATGAAAAGTATGGAAAATAAATTCATATTTGAGACCAGCGAGAAGGGTGGGTGAAACAGGATGTTCTCCAGGGTGGGAGGCTATGTTTGTCGATGATAAAGAGACTTTGCTTGTCTTTTGGTTTGCTCATTGGGCACAGATTCTGGCAAGGTTTTCCTCGGCTTGGGGTGGCTAGGGAAATATTTACAAACATAATCGCTGAAAAATTAAGTTTCTGAAATTGCTTTTTTTGCACTTTATTACAGCATATTGCCCGAAATTTATCATTGGCAACGAGCTTATTCCGGATGAAAGCCCCGATTTTCTCATGAGTATATTTTAAGAAAATGTTTTAGGCATAAAAGGCATGAAACACAATTAAAAACGAAGACAAAACGTGATCGAAAGAGGTCAAACCCCAGAGCAAGATTAAGCTGTGAGCTTAGCATATTTAAGTGGTCACGGGCCTGGGCTCAAAAATAAAGAAAAACCAAAAAAAAAATACCCTGCCCGGTTAAGCCCGGTATCCGGGAGAAGGTCTCTAATTGAGTAAACGCCAGCGGAAAAAAACAGGAATTAAAATCGGAAAAACGATAGATATAAGCAAAAAACACACACAATGGCAAAGGGAAATTGGAGTGGTGGCTGCGTAGCGGTTTGTTTTCCATTCCTAAGCTTATTTTCCCGAGCAGCTTTCGCCGAAGTGGCATAAGATGCATCAACAGCGGGCCAAAAGGAATCAAAATATAAAGAGCACGGGAATTAAAAATTGTGAATGGTTGAGGAGATGAAGGTGGAGCTCCAGCTGAAGGAAAACAAAGCAAATGGAAAGCCAAGGCAAGAGCAGCGACCCGCAGCGCATAAGGGGAACATTAAAAATGTTGGCCAGCTTTCGGATCCTAATCCTTTTGCCAGTCGATCTCATTATGCACGCCCAGTAACCGGGGTCGCTTTTAATGACCCGAATCCGGCAGAAATTCGGATGCCCCAAAAGCGGACAGCTCGAGCTTCCATTTTTTGATTAATTATGTGCCGAAAGTGAATGAGTTTCCATTCCAGCTCCTGGGTAATTCAGGTAATCTGTGCATTGTCTATTTTGACATTTCATTCTTTTCGGAGTATTGAAGCTCAAGGTGTGCCCTTTGCCCTCCCGAGCCCTCTCGGTTCATGCTAAATATATCAAATGCGTAATGAGCGCACGTGAGCTGCATGCCATATGCCGATTTTCACCCAGGACTCCCAATATTCTTTTATACATTTTTTTGGGGGTCTTTCGAGCACTATTTGGAAGGTGGGTGCTCAGCCGTCGGTCTGTTAATTACAACTTAAATTGACAGCAAAAATTGGACTGGAAAATTGTGGGTTTTCCATGCGGTCGGCATATTAAGCGCTTACTTCAGAGGAGTTGAGGAGCAGGGCAGCATAATTTCGCTGGCAGGAGTAGACAAATGAAGACTTAAGACCTACTTAGACCAAGAGCAGTCGGGCGTATAGCATTCAAAACTCCTAAGCTGCACGGAAAAGTATTCCGCAACAAAAGCGTTGTATAAAAAAATCCCAGCAAAAAACAACAAATTAGCAAAGAAGACAGGGGAAGAGATGGGTGGATGGGTGGTTGGGGTACTGTCTGATGGGCGGATGGAAAGGGAGAAGCATTTAACCCTAATTTGACACACACGCAACCTTGACTGACGGAGGAGAGAGAGGGTTGGCACTGCATAGAGAAGGGGTTGTGGATGCTACAGGGGGTGCGGTGTCATACGCCAAGTCACAAATAAATACATTTACGCTTATCAAGGGTTACAATGAGCACAATAAAAGGAGTTATTGAAGGTCTTGTTACGAAGTTTTAATACCCTTTGATTGTTGGCTAACAGAAGTTGGTTGGAAAAGTCTTGCTTACTCTTGAAACGTATATTAAGTTTTATAAGTAGATACTCTAGATTCGATTAGTATTTAAGATTATTATCTTACTTAGAAGTTGCATAAATATTTTGTTCAAAATGATCTACAAAATACGATATTTGACTTGAAAATTCGAATCATTTGAGGACTTGAAAGACGTTACTTTCTTCTGGCAACGTTCAATGAAATCCGCAACAACCCTTTCTGATTTCAAGGATACATCATTCGCAGCTGTAACGTATGCTAACTGCCGTTAAATGCGAATGCAAGGAAGACAACAATATCAATAAGCAAACTCTCACACATGTGTCGAAGGGGTGAAACGATGAAGGACGAAGGGCGAAGGGGTGGCGAGGATGTAGCGACAGCGGAAACGGAAATCACAACAAAGTGCTGACATGTGCCGCGGTCATGGTGAAGGGAGAAGTTGGGCCTATGCGGTTGCCCACACACACACACACACACACACACGTACCCCACATACGTTCATGTGTGGGTGTCAAGTTCCTTTTCACGCGCAAATTGAGTGCTTAAGCGGTTTAGTTGGCACGTCTCACTCTCCCTCACTCCTTTTCTACCGCCCCTTTATGCCACCGGAAGCGGAAACTCCGCATGGGAATGTGTATTCGCATTCGCAGTGTTTGCTGTGGCGTCGGTAAGCCGTCTCGGCATTCATCTTTCAGTGCACTTGAGGAGGCCCCAGCCCAGCTGGAGAACTCCACTTTCCATATCCTGGCGATAAGCAAGTTTCGCATTCGCGTGTATAATTCATGACGATTCACTTGGAAAACAAAAAATTATTATTTATTGTCAACGCTTGCAGCTTCGTCTTCCGCTGGTTTATGTGTGCCACTGCGATAAGATAAGGGGGCTGGGAAAAATTGGCAAAACCTTAAAAGGGGCGGGGCAGTACAAATTTGCATACGTTTTGGCCGGAAATAAAATCGCAAAAGCGAACGCGTGCCAGCGACATAAAGAAAGCAGCTCGAATTGCGGGCTCTTTCACATTCGCTAAAAATATAGGCAAATATATAGCATACTTACAGGCGGACCGCAACAACACAGATAAAGATGCCACATTGTGTGGCTATATCTTGCTCTCTCTTTCCCGCCGACTGGCTCATTTGTTGTTATTTATGCTGAGCCCTAGTGGTATATGGAAATCCCCCATAAGAACCGCGGTCACATTTGCTCCTGTTTTTCCCGTTTCCCACTTCTTTCCTGTTATTTTGCAGACAAACTCATAACCAAGATAGAAATAGAGCGGAAAAGCGAGTGAGACGGCAGCTGGTGTTGGGGAAAATGAAAAATAATAATAAAAAATAATAATAAACATGCTTGGGCTGGCGTTTTATTGCCGCTCAATTGATATCATGAAATTATGCCTTTGATTTTTATTGCCCTGCCGGAACATATGATGTTCCCTTTCAAGACACTTTTACACATGCAGATATGTATGTTCCTCGGAAGTCATGTCTTGGGATTATTTTTAAGCTACTGCCGCTGCCTACATATGTGGTCGCTGTAATTGCAATTTGAATTCAATTTGTGGACGATTGGGGAAAAACTTTGGCATAGTGTATATAGCTTATCGTTTACGATCTTAGAAATAAGTGGCAGAGCAGAGGAGAGGGAGCTTTTTTTACGAAACCTGATACTTAGGAACATCTTTTTATCTGGGAGGTGGGTGTGATACCACTGGCAACCGCAGACCTGATATGTCTCTAACATATATTACCACAAATTGGCAACTGTTTAGTCTAAGCTGTTCGATTTGCTTCCTCATGGAGATGCTTCTCCGCTTTAGTTGATTTCTTTGTTTAGCTGAGACTCTGGCTTTTGATTTCTTTTATCGGAAGCCCAAAAATATATGAAAATTTAAGTTAATATTATTGATTTTTATACCTTACTCCACAACAATGAATAGGAAACGAATGCCCTTTGTCTGTGCCCATAATTACTCAACGGTTTCACTTTCTTTCGCTGCCATTCATCCGCCGATTCGACTGTGGGTATCCAATTGAGAAGAGCGAATGCTTCTACACTAACTAAATAAGAACTCTTAGGCATATGTATATACCTGACAGCTAACTATTTTGACGGGGAATTGATGTCAGTGACACAGTCAAAATACGAAGATAAAGAACCCAAATCCGAACCCGAATCCCAGCCCGATTCCGAGTCGAAGCCAAAGCTAAGCTTTCTGAGTGGGCTCGGCAAATGAAATATATGAGAAATCTTCCTGAGATGAGTGAGCATTTCGTGGAGCGACCACAACACGCTGCGTTTAGATTAGTTTAGTTTAGTTCGTTTACGGTCTTCCCCGAATTGAGATCGTCTCAGCTGGCAGCAACCTAGCAGTCTTTACTATATCCGAAAGTCGCGATCGAAACAAAAACAAATCAAAATAATAGTAGTACCTACTCGTAAGTTAGGCAAGGGCAAATAAATTACAGAAATTAGCCCAAAGTGTGAGGGAAGACGGTGAAGGAAGTCCAGAAGGAGCGAAGTTCTGGAAAAGTTGCTATTCAGATATTTATCAAGACCAGTACAATCAAGATAAAGTTCAAGTGATAAGCTGCGCATAAATTTAAATATGCTAAGTGAATTGTGGCGACACATAAGCTCTACACACGGACACACTCGTACACACTCGTACACACACGGGGCTGCACATTAAATAATAGAACACACGTTGGGGCATTGAGAAAGATTCTGTTCTTCGTTGTTCGTTCTTCGTGAATAAAAGCCCAATCGCGACTGACAATAATAACGAATTCGCTCTCCAGCTCTCTGGCTAAACTAATTGTTCACTTAAACAAAGATAGCGATAGCGATTGTGACTATATCACATTGATCCCGTCCCTAATCCGAACCAAAAACAATGAACAGGCAAATATAGTGTTTGCCCGGGGGGTAAAACTTGCTCGCATTTCCATGGAAATCTGAGGCAATGACTTGCTGAGATTTACGTGCTCATCAATGTGCAAACCCACCGAATAGCCGGCGCTTAAGATAAGTCCCCACCGCTGCACACCTCTGTCTGGTAGCCCACGGCCTTATCACACACTTTAGCTGTCTATTTTATAACTTTAGTACCCGAACTCAACCCACAAACAAATTGTAAATTTCGCAGGTTTCAACAGGAGCAGCATGAGCGGACATCAACGTGCCTCGATAACCGTCCAAGATTAGCTTAATGGCTCGGGGGTAGTGATATCTCGGGCCAGAGATAATATTTTGTTAAAATATTTGATGCACGCTGACGGGACGTCACTGTTTTGAGCCAACTCTTGGGAGAGTCTGTCTGGATCGGCCTGTCCGTCGATACAGTTAAGATCCGCCGCCAACCGACCACATCATGCCACTTGTTCCGCGCCCGTCCACGCGTCAGGTTGTTTTCTAGATCCCCAGATCCGTAGTTCCCTCCCACAAGCCAGCTAATTGCCCGTGAAAGATCTGGCGAAAAATTAAGAAATATTCTGAGCGACCGTAAAAGTGACGACTGTAACGTATTTGTGTATGTGTGAGTGAGTTCCGGAAGAGACCAATGTGCCAAGTGAGATCGCAGCCTAAGTCGACTCGCAACTAGGATGGTTCAAAGTGAGAATCCCAGCAGCCTGGGACCCGAGGAGCAGAACGTAGATACTGCAAGCGCAGAATCCCGAGACGAATCGGACGTCGAGTCCAGACTTTTGGACAATGGCAAGCCCTACGACAAGCAGAAGGAGGCGGGAGTTGATTCGGACAGTGAAAATCCCACTCCGAAGAAATCAAAAACCAAAAAGAAGAAACAGAAATCCGAGCAGGACCGCCTCATGACTGCGGAAATTAACAAACTGCTAGATGAATCTCCGCTGGAGAAGAACGTCACCTGCGGATTCTGGATATTCAGGGGAAAGTTCTACCAAAGGTAAGTGAACTTAAGGCTGAATGTGTAGGAAAGACGAAAAAGCATTATGGTTAATGTATATATATTCTGAATCTACATCACTGAACAAAAATGTCCTACTATGCCCGTATATCCGTGTGTCCGTTCGTCTGTCTTTCTATCTGTCTATACAAACGCTGAGATCCCTGGACTTTACGAGCCAGAAAGTTGGGATAAAGATGCCTCTAGATCAAAAGTTCATTCACGATCTGGCCCACGCCCATCTTAACGCCCATAATCCGCCAAAGTCTTTGGCGCCAAAAAATTTTACATTTTAATATTGGAACTTTGTCATTTTGTGAATACTTACAGTCATTCCTATGAATAATGACCAACTAATACAGCATAATAACATTGTTTTTGAAAGCAAAAATCATACAATCCCTAATTTTATATCACCCTTTAGATTTGCAAACCAAACTGCATATGTTTTACTCTACGGAATCGTCGGCTGTATCTTTTCAATGACATACGCCTACTTCAATGGCACGATCACCACAATAGAGAAGCGTTTTAAGATTCCGTCGAAGAACACGGGAATAATCTCGGTGGGAAATGATATAAGTCAGACCTTGGTGTCTGCTGTTCTGGCCTACTACGCGGGAAAGGGTCATCGACCGAGATGGATTGGGTTCGGTAAGATGTTTACAGGAAGATATGTTCTCAAACAAAAATACTATAGTTCGACCATATACCCCTCAGGTCTTCTTACCATAGTCTTTTTCTGTGTTCTAACCACGGCACCACACTTTCTTTACGGCCCCGGGGAAGATGCACTGGCTTTGACCTCAGAGTTTGGTGGAATGCCCGATGAAAATGCCACCAAGGAGGCCATCGAGGAACAGAGATCCAAAACCCTCTGTCGCTTGAATGGAGGAGGAGCCGAGTGTGAGGTCGGTGAGGGGAACTTCGCCCCACAGCTCTTGCTCTTTGTGGCCCAGTTTATATCCGGAATCGGAGGATCCCTGTACTACACCCTGGGAGTATCCTACATGGACGACAACACCAAGAAGTCAAAGACTCCGGCATTGCTGAGTGAGTAGTAGCCGGTTTTAACCACCTGAAACCGTATAAAATGATAGTAGGGCGTGGCTAATCTCTTGTATCTTAACGGCCATGAAAATCATAAAAAACTTTACTGGGGGAAGGCCAGTCCATTTACGCTGACTCAGGACCAGCATATACACTTTCCGTTTCCGAAAGAATTTTTGAGTTACCAAAAAAAGAAAAAGTAAACAAAGACTATAAGCCATAGATTAGGAAAACAACAAAAACTAGATTAATTGTCGATAAGAATGAAAGATTTTTATTAATAATTTCAGGTAATTCAAATAGATTAGTTTTATCAGGTAATAAATATTAAGAAATATTAAGAAATGTATTTAAAAGAAAAAGTACGTACAAGAAAGTACATTTTATGAATTTACGTTTCTACTTAAGTTAGTTTTCTAACTTTTTAATACAACTTCTTGATTAGATGCTTAAGATTTGAAGATTTTAATCTTCTTATATATTACGAAATATGCAAAAATGTTTTTTAGTTTTCAGACGAATTACCTATGTTATTAACATTACAAAAACTGATTTGGAAAAAAGCTCGATTTTTTATTCAAATTATTTCGCCACTTTCTTGAGCTTTCCGAACGAGTAAGTTCTTTACGAGCAAGAGAGTTTGTTATACTTCAATATTTTGTTGTTTAATGAGAGACAATAAAGAGTTATCTTTTTACAGACCTTAGGAAAATATTTTCTTAGTAGCTAGACAAAGTAACGATTAGCTGTTTGCAATCTTAGCCCAGGAGATATGCTTATCTTTAAGATAAACATGAGAGCAAGCCGGGACACCTATTGAACTATAAAATAATAGTAAAGTAGAATAAATTCCAGTAGCTCCTTGGAAAATCAAAGATTTTGTAACATATTCCAGGTCTGTCCTACTTCCTGCGTATGCTGGGTCCTGCCATTGGATATGCCCTGGCCTCCTTCTGCCTGCGCCTGTACATCGCCCCGCAGATGCATCCGGTGATCAATAACAAGGACCCTCGCTGGCTGGGCGCCTGGTGGCTGGGATGGCTGGTAATGGGCGGACTGCTCTCCTTCTCCGGGGTGTTCCTCTCAATGTTTCCCAAAGAACTTCCCCGAGCAGTGGCCCGCAGGAAGGTGGAGGAGAACCGACGGCGTGAAAAGGAGAGACTATCTGTGAAGAGCACGGAGAAGGAGCGCTTGACAGTCGAGTTAGACCAAAAGACTCCTGTGGAAGCTAAGGCATCCTTCCAGGACATGCTGAAAACCTTCCGCCGCCTGATCACTAACAAGACGTACATGTGCAACACCCTGTCGAGCATTTTCTACCTGGTTGGGTATACACCCTACTGGATATTCACACCCAAGTACATCGAGGTGCAGTATCGCCAGTCTGCGGCCACTTCATCCATGGTAACCGGAACAGTGGCCCTGGCTTTCTCCGCTGTGGGTGTGCTCCTTTCCGGTTTCATCATCTCGCGATATAAGCCCAGGGCCCGATACATGGCGGCTTGGAATGTGATTGTTGGCTTTCTCACGGTGGCTGGCATCTTCGCCTACGCCTTTATCGGTTGCCCGGGAAATGAAAGTTCCGTAATTGTCAACATTCATGACAGTTCCTTGGCGGGCAACACCACCACCTGCAATTCGGCCTGCTCCTGCGATTACGTCCGCTACTCTCCAGTTTGTGGGGAGAACAATATGACCTACATCTCTGCCTGCCACGCGGGATGCAAAAGTTTGCACGTAAATTCCGAAGGAAAGAAGGTTAGTCCTAGGTTAATATTAGATATATTTAGATATAAATTATTCTTCAAACATTTTTCTATAATCTTCTCCAGATTTTCTACGATTGCTCCTGCATTCCTGGTGATGATACCGGCAACTCCACGAGCCAGTTTAAGCGCGTTACCAGCTTCGATTTGGCGAGCGATGACTTCAGCCAGGACACGTCAAACTTCACCGAATTGCAGGTTAACCGTTGAATCTTTTATGAGACTTAAGGACTCTTTAACCTCTCTAAACTTGTAGAGCCTAGCGAATGGCCAGGCAATGCCAGGAGCCTGTCCCGTGAACTGCTGGACACAGTTTGTGGCCTTTTTGGCCGTCATGTGCTGCCTGAAGTTCGTGGGAGCCAGTGGCAGGGCCTCCAACTTCCTGGTCTCCGTGCGCTGTGTTCCGGAAAAGGATAAGACGGCAGCCATGGGGTTCGGCATGACCCTGTGCTCGATGCTGGCCTTTATTCCCAGTCCAATATTCTTTGGTTGGGTCTTCGACAGGGTCTGTTTGGTTTGGGGCAAGACCTGCACAAACAAGGGAAACTGTTGGCTCTACGATCCGCTTTCCATGAGGTGAGATGATCCTAAGACGAACTTAAATATCAATCTCTTAAATATCAAACTTCTCCCAGGTACACTCTGAACTTCACCGCAGCTGTCTTTATCGCCATTGGGGCCATTTTCGATCTGGGGGTCTGGTATTACGCCAAGGATCTGAAAATCTTCGACGAGGACATCAAGGAGGTGGAGATGAAGATTGTCCAGCACGAGGAGGAGGCCAACAACGAGAAGAATACAGAGATCTAGACCTAAGTTATTGTTATTCCTAAGCGCTGTGTGAGAGTGAGAGTTTTGGTGCCTTCATTTGTCAATATATAAATGTGTGATTTCCCCATAGAGCCCAGTACCATAATAAACGGTATTGTAACAGTAAGGTTGCCCTCTGTATATACTCGTATGGTTATTGCTGACAATTAAAGACCAGATCCCGATTAGAAAGATAAATCTCGGACGGACTAAGCTCTAAAAGAGTGAAGGTTATCTGCTATCTCAGAGCTTTTGTTTGCCCCCCGGCTACAGGTTGATTGCAGGTTGCCTCCGAGTCGTGCGTTCAGTATTTTGGAGTAGTTCGACAGTGAAGGATGGACATGGCCAGTGAAGCAATCGAGACCTCAAAGTTTTTAAAAGATAAAGAGAACGGTATAAATGAATCTGAAAAGCGAGAGGATGTGGAATCGTCGGATACTTTATGTGGTTTTTCCATATTCAAGGGGCCTGCAATACAGAGGTAGATTAATCTGCCTCTATCTGAGATTTGCGTAATCCATATCCTGTTCTCCAGATTTGCCACAGCTCATATGTTCGTGATTATATACGGGATAGCTAGCTGTTTTCTGGCCATGGCCTTTACCTATTTTACCGGAACCATCACCACGATGGAGAAGCGTTTCAATATACCCACCAAGATATCGGGACTCATTACGGTGGGTAACGATATCAGCACAGTTTTCTCCTCGGCCTTTCTGAGTTACTATGCAAGTCGAGGACATCGCCCTCGTTGGGTAGCTTTGGGTAATGTCTTTAGACTGTAATATCTACTTTGGTTAGCACATCTCTTTTCCCACTTTTTAGGTCTCATCATTATTGCACTTTTCTGCCTGCTCATGTTGACCCCACACTTCTTCTACGGAGCCGGTGAAGAAGCTCTAAGACTGACTGAAGAGTACGGAGAGTTGGAGTCCGTTGAGTCATCTTTAAATGCCACAGAAAAGAATGATGCACTTTGCCATGAAAAGGACTCGAACTGCATAGAGGGGGATGGGAACTACACACCCATCGTCCTGTTCTTCATAGCACAGTTCATAGGTGGCATTGGGTGTTCCTTGTTCTACGCTCCCGGTCTCTCCTACATGGATGATAACTCAGCCAGTTCCAAGACGCCAGCTATGCTAAGTTAGTATGGTTTTAGAGTCCTAAAGAGTATCAGAGATTGACCGTTCTTTTCCCAAGGTTGGTCCACCTTTCTGCGAATGCTTGGTCCTGCTATGGGTTTCTCCATGGTCTCCCTGTGTCTCCGGCTGTACATCGATCCCTTCAAGACTCCACTGATCACGACAAAAGATCCCCGCTGGATGGGAGCTTGGTGGTTAGGCTGGATTCTCCTCACCTTTATTCTGCTGATCTCAGCAGTCTTTGTGGGCATGTTTCCCAAGGAAATGCCAAAAGCCAAGGCCAGACGTTTGAAGGCAGACGGAGAGGAGGACACTCCGCTGGCGGAGCGCTCCTTTCAGGATATGCTGGACTCCCTGAAACGACTAGCAGGCAACAAGGTCTATGTCTACAATATGCTGGCCTCGATACTCTACTTCTTTGGCTACATGCCCTACTGGATTTTCACTCCCAAGTATATCGAGATCCAGTACCGACAATCGGCATCGACGGCCACTATGGCGACGGGAACTTGGGCGCTGGGATTCTCCGCCGCAGGGGTCTTGATCTCTGGATATGTGATCTCCAAGTATAAGCCAAGTGCCAGAGCAATGGCTTTTTGGAACTTTGTAGTAGATTACCTAACAGTGGCTGGACTCCTCTGTTATGTCTTGGTGGGATGTGATGAGAGTGACCGGGCTAACTCTTTATCCATTGTTCCCAGTGGCGACAGCTGCAGTGCCTCATGTGACTGTGAATACGTTTACTACTCTCCGGTCTGCAGTCCGGATGATATCACCTACATCTCAGCCTGCCATGCGGGGTGCACCGAAAAGGGTTTGGACGAACTGGGAAAGATCATTTACACAGGCTGTCGGTGCATGGGCAACTCCCTTAACCTGACTTCCTTTTCTAATGTAACATCCTTGGCCTCGCAGTCCCAGATCGCCTTGGATGGAGCCTGTCCGGTGGATTGCAATAAACAGTTCATCATCTTTATGGCAGTCATGTGCTTCTTGAAGTTCGTAGGAGCCACTGGGAGATCTAGCAACTTACTATTGGCCTTGCGTTGTGTTCCCTCGAGAGATAAAACCTTTTCCTTGGGCTTTGGTAGCATGGTGTACTCCGTGCTGACCTTTATTCCCAGTCCTATTGTCTTCGGCTGGATGCTGGATAGCTATTGCCTGGTGTGGGGCAAGACCTGCAGCTCCAAGGGCAACTGCTGGATATACGACACAAAGTCCTTGAGGTGGGAAACTTTTTCGAAATACAAATTGATAATAATGATATTTCTCTTACAGGTACACCATGAACCTGGTGTGTGCCTCCCTGATTTTCCTGGGCAGCTTCTGGAATATAGGAGTCTGGTATCATGCGAAAGATATGAAGGTGTTCGACGAAGAGGAAACAGTACCTAAGAACAAGCAAGATGAAGCAATAGAGCTGAAGAAAAGATCACAGGAAAATGTTCACGATGAGAAATAAGAGTTATCAAATAAAAATAAAGAGCTTATTTATAGTATCTTTGTTTATATTTTTAACGGGGGTTACGTGGCCCACCAATGCTGAAAAAATTGTGCCAGAATTTCACACGCTTTCGAAAAAGATAAAGTTGATAAGGAAGCCCCGTCAATTAAGTGCTCTTAAAGTTTAATATCCATACCTAGTATATAAATGTCGGCTGGCTGATCCTCACTGTCTAATCTGACTGATTTGATAAGATCTTGAAGCTGTTTACATACGAGATGCAGTGGGCTATATGGTGGGGCGATCTCTGATAGACAGAGTCAGTGTGTTCGGGCTGTTTGGGAGATCAAAGTTGGGACATGGCAGATGATCAGGGAATGGCAACCTTAGGGACAAGCGAGACTTTGCCCTTCATTGAAAAACCTTTTGTCATCTCAGATAAACCAAAGGACTCTCCTAAGGACTTAAGAGAAAGGGAAGATGATACTAAAGGGACTACGTGTGGTTTCTGGATATTTAAGGGCCCTCTTCTGCAAAGGTAACGTCTTCGGAAGTTACTCAAATCCTTAATCCTGAATTATCCCTTTTAGATATGCCACTGAGAAAATGTATGTGATTCTCTATGGCTTCGCTGGCTGCGTGATGGCAATGACCTTTGCCTACTTTAATGGGACCATAACGACCTTGGAGAAGCGCTATAAGATACCAACAAAGGTTTCCGGCATTATCTCAGTGGGAAATGATATCAGTACCATGCTAACGGCCGCCCTCTTGGGCTATTATGCCGGCAACGGTCATCGCCCCCGCTGGATGGGAACAGGTGAGTTAAGATCTGAGTTGAGTGTTTCCAAATGCATCTGATAGTGTCCCGTTTAGGATTACTGACCATAGTGGCCTTCTGCCTGCTAACGAGCTCCCTGCACTTAATTTACGGAGCTGGCGAGGACGCCATGAAGTTAACCCGGGAATTCGGGCAGGCTAACGAAACTTTGGCTGGACAAGAGCGGGATAAGAAGCTGTGCCAGCCAAGTGCAGCAGGATGTGTCCAGGAGGTGGGTCAGTGGGTGCCTCAAGTAGTTCTGTTTGTGGCTCAACTTATCTCGGGAGTGGGCCAGGCTCTTTTCTATACCCTAGGCATTGCCTACATGGATGACAATGGCACCAAGTCCAAGACACCAGCCATGCTGAGTAAGTATTGAATTGTCGAGATATTTGTAGAGTTACTGATGGTTCCACCCTCTACCAGGCATGTCTACATTCTTAAGGATGCTGGGTCCAGCTGTCGGTTATTCCTTGGCTGCTCTTTGTCTGCGTGTGTATATTGATCCCAGCCTGGAACCACTGATTGGGCAGGAGGATCCCCGCTGGATGGGCGCCTGGTGGCTGGGCTGGATAGTCTTGGCTGCCGTAACTTTGATCTCTGCAGTGCTGCTGTTTATGTTCCCCAAGGAGCTGCCCAGCTCGAGAAAAAGACGCCTTCAAGTGAAGCAGTTGGAAAGAAAAGAGTCACTGCCCCTCAAAGAGCGATCCTTCGGGGACATGATGAAAACTGTCAGGAGACTGGCGAAAAACAAGGTCTATGTCTACAACACCTTGGCATCCATACTCTACTTCTTCGGGTACATGGCCTACTGGATTTTCACTCCCAAGTACATAGAAACACAGTACAGACAATCGGCGGCCACGGCCACCATGGCCACGGGAACAGTGGCCTTAGGATTCTCTGCCGCCGGAGTCCTTATTTCCGGATACGTGATCTCCAAGTACAAGCCAAGTGCACGGGCTATGGCCTGCTAGAATGCCATTGTGGATTTTCTGACGGTGGCCGGTATCCTGTGTTATGTGCTAATTGGATGTGAAGAAAGTGACAGGATGAATTCTCTGACCACATTGTCCGCTGGGAACAGCTGCAGTGCCTCCTGTCACTGCGACTATGTGCACTATGCTCCCGTTTGCAGTCCGGAGAACATCACCTACATCTCCGCCTGCCATGCGGGATGTTCAGAAAGATGGAAGAATGCACTGGGGGGGACTATTTACACCGGATGCCAGTGCTTAAGCTCATCAATTTTGATCTCTGACCCTGAGGTGGTATAACCCAGAAACAAAATAGTTGAAAAAAATGAATAATTCCTCAATTACAGTCCCAATTCGCTGTTGATGGCACCTGTCCAGTCGACTGCTTCAATGAGTTCCTTGTCTTCCTGGGCGTCATGTGCTTCCTGAAACTAGTAGGAGCATCGAGCAAATCAACTAACCTACTCATCGCCCTGCGCTGCATGCCCCCGGAGGATAAGACATTTGCCCTGGGACTGGGCTCCATGGTAGCTTCTCTGCTGAGCTTCATTCCCAGCCCTATTTTCTTCGGCTGGCTGATAGACCACTATTGCTTGGTGTGGGGCAAGACCTGTACCAACAAGGGGAACTGTTGGCTATATGACACGAAGTCTTTGAGGTGGGCAATCCTCAGATATAACTTTAAATTTATTTCCTAATCGATTACTCTACTTTTCAGATACGCTTTGAATCTCACGGCCGCATCTTTTATATTTCTGGGAGGCTTTCTAAATATTTCAGTTTGGTACCATGCAAAGGATCTGAAGATTTTCGATGAAGATGAACCGTCGAAAGGTCATTCAAGGAACCAGGAAGTTGAAATGAAATCAATGGACACCAAATCTCAGGATCAATAAAGTTATATTTCTAACAAATAAACACGCTAAGAGTTTTACTTCCGTTTCCGACTGACTTTTAGTCTTTAGTCCTAAATTTTCTTTTTTCCTACAAACATCAAATTTGGCCTGCAAGATGTCCGCTCCGGAGAACAGTTGTCGGCGTCTGGTCGAAAAAAACTTTGTCCCAGGACCATGTCGCAAGTGCTTTGAGTCCACCTGCGGCCCATGCATCGACTACAGGATACCAACGCCGCCAGAGGTCGTAGGTGAACCAGGTGCTATTATCATAGAATCTCCGCCGCCACCACCCACCATTGAACCGGATGCACCCGTGCGGCAACATATCAACATTCGGGCTGAGTGCAGCAAGGGGCGCCCGCTCTTGGAGTCCGACAAGGATAAGCTGAGGTGCTGCACCATGTGCGTGGCCCAGGAGGAGAATCTTCGTGGCAATCTCTGCTCTGCGGCGTGCAGGCCACTTCAAACTCTATTGCACCTGAATGAGGTATGAGTAAGGTCCTTCTTATTTATATAATCAATATATATAAAAATTGTTAATCTTCAGTATTTGATTTAAGTTTTAGTTTTAACTAATCGCATTTGTTACCTCTATTTCACAGTGGACCAAGCGGCCTCGGCCAAAACCCACCTACAAGCATTCGGTTATCCTGGACAATAACACCATGGCAGGTCGATGTTTTCCCATCAAATTCCAGCTGAAACGCATGAAGAACAAGTGCCTGGACTGCGGCAGGGATCTCTACTTCCGGTATCCCATAACAAACAATAGCGACCTGCTGCTTATAAAGAACTGCTGCGATGTGGAAGTTTATCCAGCTTCGAAGGTGGAGAACATGAACAACGTGAGGGTCACCAAGATATCGGGAGTCAAGAAGTTCGCCAACAGTGTGTTGAAGGAGCGGTCGGAATGCCGCTTGTTCACCCTAGCTAGCCAAATTCCGCGTGTGAAATCATCGTTGGGTATTAACCTTAGGTCAAGTACTAGACAGAGCCGAAGGAGTACCAGAAAAAGCAGGAAGAGCACCAGGAAAAGTTCCAGGAAAAGTAGGAAGAGTACTAAATAAAATGAAGTAACAAAAACACGGACTGACTATAAATATCAACGAAATTGAATAACTAATACTAAATTTAGTCTCCAAAATATTAAAATAAACAATAAAAAGGCATAAACTTAACAACTCGAATAAGTTTTTAAATATCATATTCGATCATGAGAGATTGATGAAAAACTGATGATGCTGCAGGGTCCAGCAGCTCATCCTTCTCCCACCCTCAGTCCAAACTCAAACTTGAGTGAAAGCTCCGCTCTAAAAAACGAACCTTAAACTTTCACAGAGCTTGGCCACAGCTTTTAGTACAAAGCTAGTTGCAGAAGCTTACAGCCCACAGTCCAAAAATCAGTTACATTTTGTATGTGTATATCTAGTGTAAATTTAATTCAAATTCAGTCGCATAAGCATATACGAGGTGTGTTCAAAAAGTAAGGTGACTTTTCAAATTTCTCGGGCAACATATTTTCGATTATCGATTTTTTTGTTTTGTTATATTGGTACACTCTTCCCTAACATCTGTACCAAGTTTCAATGGAACATCCTCTTTTGTTTGGTTGTGAGAGGCGTAAAGGTACAAGTTGTTTTGCGAGCTCGGCGATTTTTTGCTTTTTTCGGTCTTGGCTCGTCTGGGCTCTTCCATTGGGACGATTGGGCTTTGGTTTCGATATCATAACCATATACCCATGATTCGTCACCAGTTATGACCCTTTTGAGTAAATCTGGGTCGTCGTTGACGTCATTCAACAGCTCTTGAGCGATGCTCATGCGACGGTTCTTTTGCTCAAAATTCAGCAATTTCGGAACAAACTTCGCTGACACACGACTCATACCCAAAACGTTTGAAAAATTTCATGGCACGAGCCAAGCGATATACCGACATCTTCAGCAACTTCTCTGATAGTGATTCGACGATTTTCCAAAACAATTTTCGTCACTGCTTGAACGTTTTCATCAGTTGTTGACGTGCTTGGGCGTCCAGAGCGAGGCTGGTCATTGGCATCTTCCCGGCCATCTTGGAAGAGTTTGTACCACTTGTACACATTTTTTTTACTCAGAACAGTTTCACCGTATGCCACTGTCAACATTTCAAGTGTTTCAGAGCACTTAATTTTATTTTTTACACAAAATTTGATGCAAATCCTTTGATCCATATTTTTCGATAGCAAAAAATCGCCGAGCTCGCAAAACAACTTGTACCTTTACGCCTCTCACAACCAAACAAAAGAGGATGTTCCATTGAAACTTGGTACAGATGTTAGGGAAGAGTGTACCAATATAACAAAACAAAAAAAACGATAATCGAAAATATGTTGCCCGAGAAATTTGAAAAGTCACCTTACTTTTTGAACACACCTCGTACATACATAGCGTAATCCTAGAATATAATTTATGATTCAGCTTACAACGTTAATCGAGAATCGAATGAGAATCGAAAGGAACAGGATCAAGGGTCGGGGGAGTACCTAGATTCGTTATAATTCAAGACTTTGCGTTCGATTGATGTGCTGCGGTTAGTTACGAGATACAGATTACGAATACTTGATGCTGTTAACGCGGCTGCTGCTCAGCCCTGGATTAATACGAGATTTAAAACTTAGGGTCTAGCCGGTGTACCGATCTCTAAACGCGGTATTTGTTCTATAATTGCTTGACTTGCGGCGCTATAAATTTAGAATTGTTTTTGCATTTCGTCGGGTCGTTTGGGCTAGTTTTTGGAAAACTGTTGGAACACTTGGCCACTGAAATGCGTCTGGTTTGTCGTTTGTCAGTTGCTAGATTTATAGTTATAGTTATAGTTAGCTACCATCGTTAACGTTCTGCGCAAGGCGTTGTATTGCAGTTACACCGATCATTTTGAGTGATTTCAAATGTCACAACTATAGTAATTATACTTCGAGTAGTCGACTATGCTCTATACTACGTACTCTAGTCTATATGCACTTGATTATTAGTTTAATTTAAAAATTAGCTACACGTCGTTGGCCTACTGCTAGATGGATACATGTAAATATGTGTATAATTTAATTTAAATAAGCGTCTCTGTACTGTCGTGTCACGTTGCGTTCTTTCGGCTCGTCAACAGTCAATCAATTTAGTATTTGTGCTAAACGGTTCAAGCTGCCTGTTCTGTGGCCCTGGAAGCTTGTCAGTTGCCTATGTATCCACTGGGAAGAAGTCTTTCAGTAGTGTGGTGCGACGCTTTTCAGCGATGTCCATTTGATTTTCGAGATCACCCAGGTCCGTTGTCTCCGCCCGCTCAATCTTCCACGACAGGTTCTCTATCTCGGCCTCCAGTTGAGCCTAAAAAAATATAATATTAAGTAACTATATAAGCCGAAAACATCCTGAGACTCACCTGCTGGTACTCGAAGAGATTCTTCCGCGAACAGGTCTCCATGTAGTAGGCATATGGATAGGTATATTGCAGCGTATATCGACACTTGGCCAGCAGTGCCGCAGCGTTGAAGAGATATTGCCAGTCGATCCAGGTGCCACTGCCGTTCATCACCTTTGAGTTAATACGCTGGCGCAGCCGGTCGATCGTCTGCTGCTCGAGTTTCAAGGACTTGGAGTGGTTCTCCCAGCGCTCGTAGTAGTGCAGGTACTTCTTCAGCGCCTCGCGCGCCTGCACGTGCACCGACTCGTTGGCAATGTTGGGGTTGTCCTTGTACCGGGAGCACTCATAGTACTCGGAGCCGTGCGTCTTCCAGTCACCCAGGCACATCCAGCAAAAGTCGTGTTTGCAGTTGAAGCACTGCATGTGGTTGCAGCCGCCGTTCTTTTCGATGCAGATGTGACACTTGGGGCAGTCTTTGGTGTGGGCGCTGATGTAGTTGGCGGTCTCGCTGTCGTCGGCGCACTTGGTCAGCCACTTCTTAATCACCTGGCAGTCGGTGGGCGCATGGTAGTCCATGCCACACCGGAAGCAGAAGCCCGTATGGCAAGCCTTGCAAATGGCACGTTTGGCGGAGATCTCCGATGATTGCACAATAATCTGGCAGTTGGGTCCGGGACAGAAACGCAGTTCCGGATGCGACTTGACGTAGTCCTTAAACGCAAACTGCTGGTATTTGTCCCGCATCACGGGTCGTGTGACCAGTGTCAGCACCAAGTCCTCGGGCACCCGCACATTGCACATCTGAGCCATGCAGCCGATCTGGGTGGAGATTCCCTGGAAGATCTGCGTCTCAAAGTATATAGTCCAGCAGTCCTTGCAGAACGAGTGCCCGCAGGCCAGGCTATAAAACTTGTCCCCCAGCTGTGAGCTGGCGCACACTGGACACATCTGGCTTCGGTATTGCGGCGCCGTCGAGGCCGTTGTCTTGTATCCACTGTTCCCCAGTCGCAGCAGTTGGGCGCTGGCCGCCGCAGCCGCTGCACTCGTCGAAGCGGTATCCGCAACCACCACAGTCGGCGGCTTAATGCGCGCCGTTACCAGCAGCGCATTGGCGTCCTGGCGGTACTTCTCCACTACGACACCGTTGTTCCACTGGTGCTCCAGCAGCAGCACCTTGGCCAGCGAGGGTGTGATCTTCAGGATAGTGTTCAGTTTCTCCACCCGCTCGTTGAGCAGCTTCTCGATGTCCTCCACGGTGAGGCAGGTGAACTCGAAGTACTCGGGATCGGCCCGCTTTGGATCAAGGCGCTCTACATCGCAATCCTCGCCTGCAAGGAAGAAGGTTTTAAGTTAATAAACAGTTTAAGCATAGTAAAGATTATATTTAAGAGGATTTTTGTGATTTTTGATATTTTGTATAAGTCTTATAGAGATTATTACTCCCTATTCCCCATATTCCCATAATACACTTTAAGCCTAGAGAGAGCTGAGGTTACACCTTTTTTCTAAAACCGGAATCGAACCATACAAGGCTTGATTTCTTACGAACTTTGAGTTAACTTTTCAGTTACATTTGTAAAATCGGATACCTTTAATTTCTTGTCGTTCAGAACTGGTTAGAGTTACAGCGATTACAGAAGCTTATTTATGATTAGGTAACGTTTATTTGTTGGGCATAAAATAGTTAAACAATTTTTACTACTCTGTCGTTTTCAGATCATTAACGATTACCATTCGTGCAACTGCCAATCATGTTAGCATTTTGTTAGCCATAAACTTTGGCTAATTCTCGGGACTAAGCCGCTCGACAAGGCTGCCATACAAATGCTCGACGTTACGGTGTTACGAGTATCTGATTGAAGGTTTTGTTACGAAGCGTCTTGGCCAGGTCGGAATAACAAGGGACAGGTCAAGAAGCGGAGACCGAGTTGACGGAAGAGCAGGCACAAAACAAAATGCAACTGCGTACTTGGGCACGCACCTGAGATGGTGGTGGTGCATATGTATGTGATTGTGGTTGTGTGTGTGCTGGTGTGGGTTGTGGAGCTACGAAGACCGTGAGCAGTGTGGCGGCCAATAATGAAGCCAGCCACAAAACACAAACCTCGCAATCAGTCGCAACTCGCAACTACGAATTGTACTTGCCCATGCACTGAGGAAAACTATGTGTAATTTACGATTTTTAAATCGTATACAATTTGAAAAGAAAAGACAGATAAATATTACAATTACTGCGGCACAAAATAATATAATTATATATTTTTTAATTTTCTGTAATATTTAAGATTTTTTAAATCCGAATTTGAGAACATTTGATTTTAATTTTCCATAATAGAAATTTCATTTAATATTTCATATGAAATTATTATTCTTATTCATCCTAACTTACCTTATTAAAGTTCGAAATCTATTACAATCAAACAACTAAACCTTTTCTTTCTTTTAAAATATAGAATAATCTGTTCTTACCAAACAACCTGTTCTTTTTCTGCCTGTGTGCCTATTGCGTGTGTGTTGGTTTCAAGTTCAATTCCATAATTTCAGCTTCATGGTCAGCTAAGAAAGTGCGGGGATTGAACGGAGGAGGGCACGAGGGCCTGGTAGTGGAACCCAAGGCGAATGTCAAGTGCTGAATGCAAATTCTCGGGTCTTATGGGCCTCCTCCCAAAAAGGTGAATAACCAAACCAAGACCGTCATGTGTGTGTGCGAGCACTTCCTCACAGATACAATCATACCCCTATTTAGCCTCAGTTAAATCGATGGCTGGTTGTTGTCAGGAGGAAACCCTTTAAGCAGGTCTAGCACTATCTTACCTGTATTGTAGTAGTCGTAATCGTCGTCGTATTCCCCATCGTTGTCCGATTCCATATCCATTTCGATATCAGAGTCCATTTTGGTGGTTTTAGTATTAAGATTGGGATTTCGGATTTTGGATGTTTGGCTGGAAATTCGAAAATCTGGCGAGGACACTCTGCACCCGTGTGTGTGTGTATGTTTGTGGAAGTGTGTGCGGGGTGTCTACTCTCTCTCTCTCTCTTTTGCTCTTTTGTAACAGTGTTGTAAGGGCGCTGGTGGTTGCTGTTGTTGTTTCCCCAGGAGGTGGATGAAGGACGATAATGGATAGTGGCCGATTTAGTGCGATGCAGTTCCACCGATTCTACGCAGGATGATAAACTTTGCGGGGTGGCAATTCGTCGGCGGGGAGCGGTCCCTTGTTTTATTTTCGTTTATCCACATGCATACACATGCATACGGACGCACGCACACACGCGCGCACTCTTACTCTCACGCACACACACACTCGCACAGCCGTTGCACTCAACTCAAGGTGTTTCCAATTCGCCTGCAGTTTATTTTCATCTTCCGTTATTTTTAGACCAAGCACATGCAATGCCAAAAAAATGCACAACACTCGCCAGTCGTCAGTAACTTTTTGCGTTTTTTAAACGAGCACAGCTTTTCGTGAGAACATTTTGTTTCTTTGTCTTTGTCTTCTTCTTTGCACTCTATCTATCGATGGATGCAATCGATAGGCTATAATCTATCGTGCGGTTACGGCGCCCTCTGTCGGCTCTAATAATGTTAACGGTATGTTAAGCAGCAACTATCGGCGCGAGAGTGTTTTGCAACACTAATTCGGAATTTAAAAGTGATAGAGAAAACATTTTTAAAATGATTGATTTTCCTAAAAATAACTTACTAAATTTACTTTAATAAAAAGTGGGAAAAATGATAGCAAGGATTCGTACCAAAGTATACTATCAATATATATTGAACATTCTTGATGTTCCAAAAATTGCTGTTCTGTTCTTGGCGCTCTAACTTAATTTTTAAATGGTAATTGCAAATTATTTTTTTTCTCCTTGCTTTTCGTTTTTTAAACCGTCCCTCCTTTCCTGGGTTTTCTTCTCCTTCTCCTTTTCCGGCTTTACTTCGGTGCATAAAAACTCCAGAAAGGAACCGAGAGATGGCAGATAAGTGTCCGGAACAAGAATCATTTTCTTCTCATTTCCCTCTTTAATAATTTTCTCGGCTTCTTTAAAAGATTTATTATCGGGATCCACTAATAATGATTGAAAACCACAAATGTTGGCGAAAGCAATGTCAGTCATGAGCCTACAAAAAAAAATTTAAATGTTTTTTAAACTGTTTTTCCTTTTTAATATTTTAAGAAATATAATTTACGGCTTATTCATATTCATAATTTCTTAAGAATTGTTAACAAAGTACCAAAATTTGTGAAAAATGTATTTTTATGAACCAGCTTAGGATTGCTTATTTAAGCTTCTTTTTTTGATAAAAATATAAAAAAAATGGAAATAACTTACGAGTTTCCGATCACAAGCGACTTTTCCGGTTTTATTTCTCCCGACTCGATCAACTTGCCTAAAATGCGGGGATTTGGTTTGCCCAAGACGGTTGGTTTACGCATAACGATCACCTCGATGGCATTCGCTATACCCCCGCCGTCCGGAACCCGCCGTTTGCCCAGTGTCTGGTATCCATCCAAGCTGGTGGTCAGAAATAGGACTTTCGGATTTTGAAGGTAATTGCAGGCCAAGAGCATCTGAAGCGCTTCCATTCTGTCGTCCTTAGCAACAAGCACTGCGCCCACATCTGGATCGAGCGCCATCGTCCTTACAAACTGCATTTTATTGCGGTCCCCCTGTTGCTCAATACTGACCTCGGAGCAGAAGCCAGCCTCCTTCAGATCCTTGCGGATGCCTTCGCCGCCCAGAACAAAAAGCTTCTTCTTGAACTTCCGGTCGGCTAGATAACTCGATATGGCTGCCGACGAACTGAGAACGTCCTGATCCTTTATTTTAAAGCCGAGGCACTTGGCCTTTGTCACCAAATCCGATTTGGTCAGGCAGCAGGAGTTGGTTACTATGAGGCTGCGCTTCCCCTTAGACTGGATGGCATTGAAGGCCTCTACGGATCCTTCAACGGGAGTGTTCCCCTGCCAAAGAACCCCATCGGGGCTACAAATTATGGTGTCGATCCCCCCTAGCCACTCGGCCACTTTCGCCTTGGGCAGTTTGTCGAGGAGGCTCAGACTGCGCCTGAACATTGTGCAATTTTGGGTTAATTTTTATTCCTTTTTTAATTTTACAATTTTTAAATTTTCACTTTTTTTCTAGTGGCATTTTTTTCCCAGATAGTATATTCCATATGTGTAGAGAATTCAGATCCCTTAATGGGATAAAAAATGGGAGGGTTCTATGGAAATCTTCTTCATAATCTATCTTAATTCGGTTAAATAGTGATTTCTGTATATATTAAACTTTCGATGGATAATGGATTGGAAATATTTAACACTATAGGTTCTAAGCAGTTAGGTGAAGAATCACATGGCCATGAAATTGTTTTTCATTATTGTTTTTGGCAATAAGTAACAGTAACAGATAGTAATAGTCTATATTATTTGCTCCGGCTCAAATAAACAATAACAGCTCTTTGCTAATTATATCCTCCACCACGACATGCGGTCCCGAATACCTCCCACTAGTGAAAATGCAAAAACTTGTATGATAAGCTACACGTTCCTCTAAGATAAGAACCCAAAAACTGGATGAGATCTTTATGACCCCAAACGTGACTGAACTGATTCAGATAGCTGACGGTTATTATTTGGACAGGTGATTCTGGCACTTTTGGGAATCATGAACTAGACAGGTGGGTAACACCTTATGAGTTCTTGGCGGAACGAAGGTCAAACATTCCCAGGGAATCAAAACTTATACTTTATGCAAATTTTTTGGACATGATATGGTGGTAAGATATTCGAATAGCTTGTATCTTTAACCCTAGAAACTCCCAGCTCACCAAGCACCACTCTAGATAGAACTGACTTTATGGGGATACGGTATTCCAACAGAGATATGTCTAGAGCATCATAAAGGGGGAATAAACCTAATTTTAGGCGTTCTTTGTCTAAAGTACAGTAATACAAAGCACACGCATTTCGGCAGGCTATATAAAGTCGTGCTATCTCCCAGATTCGGTGTAGTTAGTGAGATTTCACCGGCAGCAAAGCAATTAAGAATGGGCTCCTCCCAGAGGCAGTTACTGATCCCCATCCTGGGCCTTTTGGTCTTGGCCGGAACAGCACTCAGCGGAGTACAGGAGGTGCACAATGTGCTCGAACTGACGGGCCAGCAAGTCAACAAGTTGAGGTTCTCCACGGATGTGGCCACCGACAAGTACACTCCTCCAGAGGAGATGGACCCCCAGTTCTGGTACGATATCGCCGACGAGGAGCTCACCAAGAGGCTGCAGCTACCACAACCCAATGCCAAGAAGGCCAAGAACATCATTATGTTCCTGGGTGACGGTATGCCACTCGCCACCGTCGCGGCTGCTCGAATTCTGAAAGGACAGCGCCAGGGAAATACCGGAGAGGAGTCCTCGCTGAGCTTTGAGCGATTCCCCTACACGGGCTTGAGCAGGGTAAGTTTTTCTAAAGACTTCTATTAACAAATAAAGTTAGTTAAGAAAAATATTTAACTTCTTTAAAAAACATTTAATTTAAATGAAAATTCTTAACTAAGTTATACAATATAAAAAATATTCTTTGCAGACGTATTGCTCCAACGCCCAAGTACCGGACTCCGCCTGCACTGCCACCGCTTATCTGTGCGGTGTGAAAACCAACATCGTCAACATTGGAGTAAGTGCCGCCGTGGAGTACAACAACTGCACAGCTAGCCAGGATCCAGCGAACCGTCTAACCTCCATCGCTGAGTGGGCCCAGAACGCCGGAAAATCCACCGGTATTGTGACTACCACCACTCTGACCCACGCCAGTCCCTCGGGAGCATATGCCAAGACAGCCAATCGTATGTGGGAGTGCGACACGGATGTGACCAGCTACGGCGCGGATGCCAGCACTTGCATTGACATGGCCACCCAACTGGTGACCCAGACTCCCGGCAAGAACTTTGAGGTCATGTTTGGGGGTGGAATGGGCAAGTTCCTGCCCAATACGATCGTAGATAGCCACGGCAATGCTGGTGAGCGATCCGATGGAGTGAATCTGCTGTCCCGCTGGCAGGGACTTCACGATGGAGGAGTCTTGGTCACCAACCGCAAACAGCTGCAAATGTTGAATGTTTCTGCTGTGTCCAGCGTCATTGGACTGTTCCAGTCGAAGTTGATGGATTTCCACGAGGAAGCGGATGAGTCCTACCAACCCACACTCTCCGAACTCACCGAGGTGGCCATTAAGAAGCTGAGCCAAAACGAAAACGGTTACTTTGTTTTCATCGAAGGTGGGTTGTCCGTCTTAAAAATAATTAGATCTAGAAAATCTTAATAAACCAAATTCATCCTATTTTTAGGTGGTCTGATTGACTATGGCAACCACTACACCCAAGCAGGATATGCTCTGGATGAGGCCCTGGAGTTCGAGAAGGCAATTCAGTTGGCCCGAAACATGACTGACATTGAGGACACCCTGATTGTGGTGACTGCTGACCACGGACATGCCGTCAGTATCGCCGGATATCCTGGCAGGGGTACGCCCATCCTAGGAATCAATCAGCACGACACGGACATCAATGGAGTGAAGTATTCGGTGCTCAATTATGCCGCGGGACCTAAACAGTATCTGGACGAGACTGGTCAGCGCATCCCCTTGGATGATATTTTGGGTGCCGACGATGCCATCACACCCAGCTACATAGCCAAGGATCAAGGCGTGCACTCCGGCGAGGATGTAGGCATCTTCGCCTCCGGTCCTCAGAGTCATCTCTTCACCGGAGTGATGCAGCAGAGCACCATCCCTCACCTGATGGCCTACGCCGCGTGCATTGGGAGCGGACAGAAGGTGTGCGACAACTAACTGGGGCGGATCTAACCCCCAAAAAACCTAACGGACTCAGGGAAACCAAACTTAAAGACACAGCCATTTCTTTTAAAACTTTCAACAAGACTCTTCTTTTGTTCCTTTAATAAAAATGTATTAAGCAATATAATAAATATCAGTGTAATTTTATTTAATAAGTCAAGTCATAGATAAAATGGATTGAAACTTTCAAACTTTCAAATATTAAATTCAATTGACTTTAAACAGATATATTTTCAAATATCTTCTGATATAATTTTGTCTATAGTATAAGAGTAATCCCTGCATCTTTTAATTTTGACGTCATTTCGAAGACATCGCCACTTAGCACCAAAAATGTAACCTTGGGAGTGGGGTTGGGTCAGTTCCCGTGTCTGAAATTCTGGGTGTCGTGCCCACCATCTGGAGCTTAAGTGTGTTCGTTACTTGTCCTCTTTCCATTGGTTCAGGCATTTGAACTGGTAGCCAGTTATATTGCCTGAAAGACCCTCTATAATCATAACATTTAATGACTTTAAGAATGTTTAAATATTTGACCATAAAGTGAGATTTTTCGTAGACGTTTCAGACGTGCGGATTATGCCACGGAGGTACGACAGTTGAGATAACATCTGCTTAATAAGAGCGTGGAACCTTTGTAGACAATAGCTTGACTTTGCTAGAAATGTAGAGTTTTCTATTTGCGAATACATACAATTTAAAAGAAAACTTCCTTTTACACTGCTACTTTACAGTGACTTGTAGAAGAAAATGCTTTTGCTGAAGACTCTATGAATGATATGTTTCTTGTGTGGATCAATAACCGAGTGAATTTCGACATGTGCATCTGTCTGTCCATTTGTCCTTTCGTCCGCATAAACGCTGAACTCCCGGAATAAGATTTATAACGTTGGAATTAGGCGAGCAGCACCCACTTACCATCGAATGGCCGCAAACTGCAAGAATCCGTTATGTCCTTAACATTAACATTAACATAACATAACATTATCGATTTCAAGTTACCGAAATCGTTTAGTACTAGCACTCGCCTTCTTGTTATTAAATGATTTGTGACAATAATAACCTCATACTTGTATAAAAAGTTGTGTTGATAAAACAGAACTCATGATGCACTTTTCAAAACTAACAGATTAACCAATATTAACTTTCTCCATAGGGCAATACACCTCTCGAGATGCTGTTTAAATTACCCCCAGTTAGTAAAAATGCACTAATTTTAGTGATAAGCCAGTCACACGTTCTCTGTGGAGAAGGATCATAAACCTGGCTAAGGCCTTTATGAGGCAAACGTGACTGAACCGATTTAGATAGCTGGAATAGCTGTTTGCTCAGGTGATCTCAGCACTTTAAGGATCATGAACTAAACAAATGGCAAAAGGAAGGTCACATATTCTGAAAACCAAAACAAGAAGAAACGCTGTTGTTGAGTTCCGCAACTATAAAATACCCTTTAATATTTTATCCAATTCTAAAGTAATCATTGGTCATTAACAAAGCGCCACCTGTTGTCAGATGGTGACGTCACTGCCCATGTGAGGGCTACACTTCCTAACAAATATGAAATAAATCGATAAAAATTGACAAAAATATTATAAAGGTCAATCAAAAATTATTATTATTATTATGGACGCCACCGCAGTTTTCCGCGGTTTGTGAGCGTTCCCACGGACTTGACTTAATGGACTTTCCTTATCGAAAATATAAATATAAATATGGATAATACTCTACAAGTAACAGGTATAATTACTCCTTTTATAAGTTTTATAGCGTTTAGAGGTTTGATAGTGGGAAAATAATGTAAGTTTTTCTAGAAATCTACTAAGATAAGTTCAAGGGTCCATAAAACGGGATTAAAACTAATTTTAGATATTCCCCGTCTGTGGTGCAATTATCAGGTGCATCCAAATTGCCGTAGGCCATATAAGACCCTGGAATCAGGCCATTTCCGTGTAGTTTGTAAAATTTCGTTGCACTTGAAAGATGCACTTCCCTGAGGCTCCGGCGCTGTTCGCAAACATAGTGCTTATGGCGCTTTGTGGAACATCGCTCAGTAAAGTAGAGGAAGTTCACAATGTCTTAGAGTTGATTGGTCAGCAAGCGAACAAGGCGAGGTTCTCCACTGATGTAGCCACCGGCAAATACACGCCGCCAGAGGAGATGAACGCCCAGTTCTGGTACGATCTCGCCGACGAGGAGATCGCAAAAAGGCTGCAGCAACCACAACCCAACTCCAATCAGGCCAAGAATGTCATTCTGTTCCTGGGAGATGGTATGCCAATCAGCACGATCACAGCTGCTAGGATCCTCAAGGGACAACGCCAAAACAAGACCGGGGAGGAGTCCTCTCTGAGCTTCGAGAAGTTCCCCTATTCGGGCCTGAGCAGAGTGAGTTTTTTTGAGAAACCACTTTTTAGGACTTCGTCCGATGGGCTTCAAAAATCTTGTTAAACCACGCATTTTTGCAAAAAAAAATCCAAACTATTCTTTCTTAACTTGGCAGGATGAGTGCTCATTTTATAAGATTTTTTTATCTTGACAGACCTATTGCGCCAACGCCCAAGTACCGGACTCCGCCTGCACTGCCACAGCTTATCTGTGCGGCGTGAAAACCAACATCGTCAACATTGGAGTAAGTGCCGCCGTGAATTACAACAACTGCACAGCTAGCCAGGATCCAGCGAACCGTCTAACCTCCATCGCTGAGTGGGCCCAGAACGCCGGAAAATCCACCGGTATTGTGACCACCACCACTCTGACCCACGCCAGTCCCTCGGGAGCATATGCCAAGACAGCCAATCGAATGTGGCAGAGTGACACGGATGTGACCAGCTATGGTGTGGATGCCAGCACCTGCATCGACATGGCGACCCAACTGGTGACCCAGACCCCCGGAAAGAACTTTGAGGTCATGTTTGGGGGTGGAATGGGCAAGTTCTTGCCCAAGACTATCAAGGATAGTCACGGGAAAGCTGGAGAGCGGTCTGACGGGGTGAATCTCCTGTCCCGTTGGCAAGGACTCCACGACAAAGGCGTGATGGTCACTAACCGCAGGCAGCTGCTCAACCTAGACGTCTCGTCTGCTTCCAACATAATCGGTCTCTTCCAGTCAAAGTTGATGAACTTCCACATGGATGCAGATCCCACCTACCAACCTACGCTCTCTGAACTCACCGAAGTGGCCATTAAGAAGCTGAGCCAAAACGAGGAAGGGTACTTTGTGTTTATAGAAGGCGGGTTCTTTTCTAAAAACCTTTCAGAATTAATATAATTAAGTGGAACTATTTTTAGGTGGTCTGATTGACTATGGCAACCACTACACCCAAGCGGGATATGCTCTGGATGAGGCCCTGGAGTTCGAGAAGGCAATTCAGTTGGCCCGAGAAATCACTAGTATTGAAGATACGCTGATCGTGGTGACCGCTGACCACGGACATGCCGTCAGTATCGCGGGATATCCTGGCAGGGGAACGCCCATCCTGGGAATCAATCAGGATGACACGGACATCAACGGAGTGAAATATTCGACGCTCAATTACGCCGCGGGACCTAATCAGTATCTGGATGAGACTGGTCAACGAACTCCCTTGGATGGTATCATAGGCCCCGATGACGCCATCTTTCCCAGCTACATAGCCAAGGAAATAGGCGTGCACTCCGGTGAGGATGTGGGCATCTGGGCTTCCGGTCCTCAGAGTCATCTCTTCACCGGAGTGATGCAGCAGAGCACCATCCCTCACCTGATGGCCTATGCGTCATGCGTTGGCAGTGGAAAGAAGGTGTGCGAGAACTAACTGCAGATAATCCTGAGAATGAAGGTTTTAATAGCGAAGATAAAGGAGAAATTAAATGAACTTCAGTCTAAGGACATTAGCAGGATATTTATATAGTAATAATCAAGACTCTATTTGCTTATTTAATAAAAATATATATTTAATAAAATATCAAGACTTCTCTTTCTTTACATACATAAACATTAAACATTCTTAAGTTCCTAGACAACTCCCTGATCACCTTCCAAATTTAGGTAAATCACATATTTTGTTAATATAATCTAAATAGAAAGCCCTAGTAATATTTTCTATATATATATTCTTATTTTAGCCGAGCTGAAGGCCTTAGCTTCTATTGCTCCCTTCCAAATGTTAGCTCTTAGTTTTAACTAATTTTAAGCCTTAGATAAATAAATAAATAAATAAACATTCATATTTGGATAATGGGACTTGTAGCTAGTGATATATATGGAATATGAATAATAGTACTACCTATTAGTCAGCCAGAAAATGAATAATCTAACCCTGAAACGTGTGTTTGGACAACTTTTATCTAATTGGATGTGGCCCTAGAACCTACCATACCTACATAACATTTATTCCTGAAATATAATAATATTTATAATAGGTTTTAAGTTTAAATGATATGTAAATAATAATACATATAAATATAGCGTAAGAACTTTACTAATTTAGCTTTGGTTTCTCTAAGAGAACTTCATAAGAAACTTTTAACTTTTTTTTAGAAAGTCTTAGACTGATTTATAGCGTTTATATATTTTTAAAATTTATTTCTGTAATCAAAGTCTTTAATTATAATTCCAAACAGTGTACTTTTCTCCTCTTTCTTCTCATAACTTCACTAGATAAGCACAAGGCCCGTGTATCCAAAATTGTATAATACAGTATATTTATTATATAGCCAGAGTACGATTCTTCTTCTATTCAAAAATTATCGCCTGTTATCTTTATATCTTTTAATACTCCCAACAACCCACCTGCACACGGGGTAGGGCCAATTCGCATCGCGGTTCAAAGATTTGGTGTCATGCCCTCTTTTCGGAGCCAAGGGTAGATATTCGCGAACCGTTGGTCTAGGATTTTGGACTGGTAGCCAGTTATATTGACTTAAAGACCCGTAAAGGGGACAATAAACTCTAATGGCCAAAAGAATGGGCAAACATCAAATCATAAACTGAGATTTTTTGAGACATTTGAGCTAGCTGGATTATGTCACGGAGATATGGCCATCTAGATAAGACTAGTCTGGGAGGGTTTATAAATAGCCGAAGCTGAAAGCGTGGCATTAGTTTAATCGGTTGCCTCAAGCGTAATTCAGCATCCTGAAAATGAAGGCCTTCGCTGGACTTATCCTGGTGCTAGGCGCTCTGGTGGCATCCACCTTGGCAGCTTCCCTAGACAGTGAGTGGTTAGTTTGAGCCTGAATCGATCGAAATCCTCATGGAATCTCACTTTCAGTGTCCGAAATCCACAATCAGAACCAGTTATTGGGAACTTCTGCTAGCTCAGGGAAAACTCGCGAATCAAATCTCATCGATCCCAATGCCATGGCCAAGGGAAAGACGGGGCCCGAGGAGGAGAAGAACGCCCAGTTCTGGTATGACCTTGCATACGAGGAGATCGCCAAGCGTCTAGAGCAACCCCAACTGGACAAGAGGAAGGCCAAGAATGTGATCCTCTTCCTTGGTGACGGCATGTCCCTGTCCACGGTGGCAGCAGCTCGCATTCACAAAGGTCAGCTGAAGGGCAATCCAGGCGAGGAGGATTCTCTCAGCTTCGAGAAGTTCCCCTACACTGGCCTAAGCAGGGTGAGTGATGAACCCTGGTAATTTAATAAAGATTGCTGATAAACCTTATTTCCCCCAGACCTACTGCTCCAATGCCCAGGTTCCCGACTCTGCCTGCACTGCCACCGCCTACTTGTGCGGTGTGAAGACCAATATTGTGGCTCTGGGAATAACGGCTGCCGTGACCTTCAACAACTGCACTGGCAGTGAAGATCCCACCAACCAGGTAGACTCCATTGCTGCTTGGGCCCAGGCTGCCGGAAAGTCCACTGGAATCGTTACCACCACCACGCTGACCCATGCCAGTCCGTCGGGCGCTTATGCCAAGACCACCAACCGATTCTTTGAGAGCGACACGGATATCTTGACCTACGGAGAGGGCGAGAGTGATCCGGCCACCTGCACTGACATTGCCACCCAGCTGATCACCCAGTCTCCCGGCAAGAACTTCGATGTGATGCTTGGCGGTGGAATCGGTAAGTTCCTGCCCAATACCATTACGGATCCGTTCAACAAGAAGGGCGAGCGCTCCGACGGAGTGAATCTGCTGTCCCGCTGGCAGGGTCTGCATCCTGGCGGAGTTTTGGCCTACAATCGCGACCAGCTGCTGAGTGTAAATGCCTCGAGGATCACTAATTTGATTGGCACCTTCCGTTCGGGAGTTATGAGCTTCAACAAGTTGGCCGATCCCAAGGAGGAGCCCACTCTGGCGGAGATGACGCGTAAAGCCATTGAGATGGTCAGCAAAAACGATGACGGCTACTTCCTTTTTGTCGAGGGTGGACTGATCGATTACGGCAACCACTTTAACTCCCCAACCCATGCCCTGGAAGAGACTCTGGAGCTCGAGAAGGCGGTTCTGGAGGCTTTGGGTCTAACCAATCCCGAGGAGACACTTATCGTAGTTACCTCCGACCACGCTCATCCGTTGACCATCGCCGGTTATCCTGGCAGGGGTACCCCCATCCTGGGACTCAATCAGGATGACACCGACATAAATGGCATCAAGTACGCCACTCTGAACTATGCAGTGGGAACCAATCAGTATCTGGATGACAAAGGCCAGCGCATTGATCTCACAGATCAAATTGGAGCCGAAGGTAAGTGGCAAGTCGCTATGTCACTTACCATATTATAAACTTTACCTGCTTTCCTTCTAGACTTTATCCATCCCAGCTACATCCATGGCACCATCGGTGTCCACGCTGGCGAGGACGTGGGAATCTTTGCCACTGGCCCCCAAAGCCACCTCTTCACCGGAATGATGCAGCAGAGCACCATTCCCCACCTGATGGCCTACGCCTCGTGCATCGGCAAGGGGCCCACTCTCTGTGACAATTGAAGGGAATAGAATTCCAATGAATATTAATAATTTAGAGTATTTGAAGAGCACTCTCCCTGGTGGCTTTCATTCCTTGGGGGCACTTTCGAAAAATCAATAATCAAATTGGCCCGACTCCCGTAACTTATTGCATCTGTCTGCCGAATTGACTTCAATTTAAAACGCATCAGCCGGGACCCAGACACTGGCAGATGCAGATACAATTTTCAAGATACAGCTTGCTGAGCGATCGCATCGATTTGTTGCCAGTGGAGATGGCTGTCACTTGCCGCATGCGGCGGGGCATAAATATGAATTCGCTGAATGTCAGGTTCAAGCATTGGCATTGCCGGCAGTTGGGGCTCGGAATATGGGGTATGGGGATATAGACAGACATATAGATATGTAGATTTATTGACTCCCACACGCATGTGGAGCAGCTCCTTCACTCGCTCTGACTTTGACTTGTAATTGTTTGCTTGTTTATGGCTGGCTCACTCGCAGAATTCATTTAAATGCGCTTGACATGAAGTGAGCCGAGATGAAGGCGCAGCTCCGGACAATTAAGCTTAATGCTCGCTCGTTTCTTACGCAATTAAGGATCGCTCTTTCCAAGGCTCTGTCCTTGCCCCATCGGCTTCGATAACTCAATTAGTCAGCACACAGAGAACAATAATTGCTCAAGTTGGTGCTAAGATAAGTGCATTTAAATTGCAATGAATAATTTGTAAAACAATTTTTGATAATGTCAAGAAAAATATGCAAAAAACATTTCTACATTTTTACATTTACTAACCTAAACAACCTTAAAAAATAAAATTGAGACCACTTTATCAGCAATCAAGAGCATTAGTAGAATATTCGAAGGAGATACGATTAATATTCCGGATATTGCTTACAGATATAGACACAATCATTAACAGATTCTGAATATGAATATTATACAATATAGACACTAAAGCTCTTCTACATATTACAGAATGTTAAAGAAATACAGCTGTTAAAAACTATTTTAACGTGTCATTTACTTCCATAAAAACCTTATTTAAATCAATAGTTATACTGCCAATAAAATTCCTTCTTGGATTTTATAAGTTAAAAGTGGCTTTAATTCTTTTTTATTAATGGAAAATATTTACTCAAAACTATTTTCATAGAGAATATATAACTTTTTATTCTAAGTGTTTTTGTTAAAGAGAAAAATAAACAAATACAGTGGAAACACATGGTAACGTTATTTAAACAATATATGCGGTTTTCTCAATTCATTTATTATCAAATATAATATATATTCAATACAAAATTTCAACTTTTAGAAATATATTTATCTCTTGATATCTTATATTTTATATCTTGAAGTTAAGAAGTGAACAAACTGTAGTTGATTTCCGCTCGTGCCTTGTCCTTGTTTTAGGTTACTGGGAATCCACTTTTTGGTTTATTTTTGTTTAAAAGTTCTGAAAAAATTTGCTTGTTCAACGATTTGTTGGCTCAGCGAAATGTGGAAGCCGCCAGGGGCTAGGAGCAAGGGGATCGCTGTGTTGTGGTCGCAAAACGCAAATCGCTTGTCGGCAACCGCTTGTCGGCTTTTGGAGTCGCGTCGTTTCCCCATTCGCAGTCCTCAGATCGCAGCTCGGTCTGCTAACTTGGCTCAGTTTCAGCGTCAGTCTCAGTCTGGGTTCCAAATCTGTCGCGACAGCAAACGCGAGTGCGGATCAGATAGATCAGTCTTTAAAGTTTATCCCCAATTTGACGTTAATTTCAGCTGACTTTCGGTTAGCAGTTAAACTAAATAAAATAGTGCGCGACTTGCAGTGCAGTGAATTGTCTGTGACAGGTGAGAATTTGAAAATAAATAAATAGACAGATAAACCAAAGCCAGTTCGAGCTGCAAATGCAATCGCAAGTGTTGAAATGGTAATTGAATGCGTGGCTCGGCTTGGCGGGAAATCGATATCAGATGGTTTGTCTCCGGATTTGCGGTTGGAAAACAGATATCCAAGACGGAAAAACAACAGCAAGTGGAAATCACTCTGACAGCTATCAGTTAGCCATGGCTAATTAATCTCACTAAGTAAACAGCCTGATCCCTAGTTATGACCTCTAAATACTTGATCTAATTCTCGTGCAGATAAAGAGCTTTTAAGTTAACCCATTTAAGCCTACTCTTACCCCTTTCGCCTGCTGGAAATTTGTGTGCAAAACACAACACATTTATCAGAAATCTGAGCAAACTTGCATTTTTCATAGGACGCACGCTAGAAAGTCTGGAAGATGCTTGTGCCAGTTTGGTCCAAGATCGGGTCTGGGCAAAAGCGCTGATGGCGGTTCGTGGGTGCAGAGCAGATGCAGATGCAGATGCCTTCACCAGATACGGATGCAAAATCGGGCAACGGACCAGAGTCACGCTATTTAAAAGGAAAATATAAAAGAAAGAAAATATCCCGGCCAACACGACTGCAATCGATCATCGCGGAAGAAAGAAGAAGGTGGAATCTGGCGCCGAATTTGTATCTAAAGCCAAATAGACAACCTGGGGATTGCGTCTTATTTTCGATGTGCAGCTGGAATTCCTCCGGCGATGTTTACTTTCGGCATTAGCTTTTGCTGCCGTCAGGGGAACATGTTATTCTAGTTCTGTGTATTTTGCTCCACTGACCGTGAACTTGGGCAAATGGAATTCACGCAAGCCGTCGAATGCACTATCCCATGATTCTGGTGTAACCCCTGGCGAAGGGGTCAGATATCACAACGCAAAAAGTGCTGATTGGGCTTTTAGAATCACAAATGGCTCTATGTAAATGTGACTGGGCTCTAAGGTTAACCAGAATTCGGGCAGGAAGCGCTGTTCGAGCAATCTGTAACAAAACACCAAAAGTCAAAAACCAGAGCAGCCAAATATTCGGTATTTTATGATAATATAGCTAGCGCTACTAATCCCATAAATTTGTCAGTTTTTCATCTTTGAGCGGACAACGCAAACACGCAATCCGGTCCAGTTCCGGCACCTCCTCCCCAACCCCTTGAGACCCCTGATTAAACAACAACAAACAGCTAACGCACACACCTGACGAAGGTGAGTTGGCCAGTGAATGAGCAAAAACCCAGCTACTGGTCTTGTCCAGGTGATGTCATACTTATCTCTGTTTGCGGGATGGCTGGTTAGAGGTTTATGGCAGTGGTAAGAGTTAGGGTTAGGGAATCTTGAACTGTGTAGCACATCAAGTTTGAGTCTCGAGGCGTAGCTCCAAAATTAATTCCTCCTCCCTGCCTTACTTTACGGATCTTCATGTCTCCGATCCGATTTGCATTTACATACTTCTCATAGGTTTTACGACTCGTTAAGTATTTGCCACAGCCCTCGGACTTATTTGATTACCTCTGCGGCATTTGCATAATCAATGATTCGAAAAGCTGAGATGTCTCATATGGCTCATATTTGCATACCACGAAATCGGAATCGAGAAATGGGGAAGTAGTAGGGGAGACCACTGTACAAGGGGAACGTGACGATGTCATTAGGCAAAGCGCCATTTAAATGGATTGGCCTGGGCAATACAAAAACACAAGTCAGCTCGAAAAGCGGCAATTAAAATGTAAATTGCATCACAAGCAGTTTACAATTTGCCATTCAATTGCTCCGTCATCGTTTTGATATATGGCTCATACGCACTGTTAGCCGACTGGCTTGGCGGTTAAGGTTATTTCTATATAATTTCTATATAGTACATAAATATGTTAAATGAACACATTTATTCATTCGTAATCGACACGCTTCGATCTTAGCATATTTTCGTAATTGAATCGAATGATTATTACGGCTATAACGATTGCTACAATGTGGTTATGATTGGCCCGGAGGGATGGCGTGCAATCAATAGACACCCACACCGCCCGGCATTCAACTCTGACCTTTTGCAGGTGATGGAATGCATCTGTTGTTTTATGTCCATTTACTTGGATATGTATATGTTAGCCATTTAACGAGAAATACGATCTGGCGTTGTCACAGCAGTTGCCACTGGCTCTGAATTTGATTTACGGCACGTATCGACTCCCATTCAATCAGTGATTCAATGGCGCTAAATGGAAAATGCACTTAGCTATCACTCGGCTGTCAGCAGGTTGACAAATGACGTCACCGCTGATTATCGCATGCCCCATTGCCACTCGTTTGCTGTGGCAAACACGGCAAATACGGATCTGTATGTGACGTCACAGCCAACCTAAACCCCGCTGCACTGATAGGCCTCTTTCGACTAGGTTGTTTGGCCAAGAAACACGGGCTGTTTGCTTTCCCCTGTCTCTCTGTGCCACGTTATTTGTGGCCCATTAGCCAGTTCACACCTTGGCGAACGCTAAAGTGGCGCCCTGCGATCGAAAACCGGGGACCTGTTGGCACTTTCAATTATGCAACCCGTGCTAATTGAACTTGGCCAAAGTGAAAACCCAGGCCAGAAAGTGACAGCCAGTCAGATCGATAGATAGAGCGAATAAAGCCATAAAAGTTCATGAATGAGCTGAATGAGTAGTTAGAGTCGACAATAGTGGGAATTTCTTATCTAAGAGGCACTCAATTCTGACACCCTTTATATGAAAAACCTTTTGTTCTGCTTATAAAAGTTTTTTATTATTTAAATTAGATTTTAAATAGGTCATTTACAAACGCAAAAGAGTAAGTATTTCTAATTTAATGTGGAAATGTTAAATTTTCTCCCATTTACTAACCTTTTTTTAGACACTTTACTTTACCAAAAACCATCCACTTTCCTTGATTGAAAAGCGCAAATTCTTTTTATCCAAAAATTCCCCTCACATTTTTTGGTTACAATTAATTTATGAGATATTTAGTTTAGGTACTCTTTTGTTCATTAATTTATTATTCGAGGGCAATTAATTTATGATGACATATCGCCCATTAACATCATACAAAGTTTTTCGGCTAACTGCGCAAAATAATGGAATGAAAATGAACTAAACAACAATTGGGGCGACATTGTTGGACAGTTGACGGGCGTGAAAGAGGTAGACAAACATACTTTTGGGTTTCGGTTGGGGGCACGTCATAGCCATATATATCCAAATAGCATCGCTATGATTCAGCCGCAGAAGCGAATAGCATTTTTTGGGCAATACAAAACACATTAAGTCCGATGAGCGAGTGCCTTGTCATCGGCGTGCAGACATTGACACTGACTGAGTGTCACTGACATTGGATGAGGCCGCAATAAAATCGCGTATCCACGAATCTACAAGCCCATATGTGCTCGTACGTACACGTATCGCATGTGTATCTACTGGCAGATACAGCTGTATCTATCGCACGCCAAATGATTCGCACTTGGCATTGACAATGACTTTCTGGCTCTCGTAACAATCCCACAAACAATTGTCGCAAGCAAGCGAAGACGAAGTGGAAACTCTTTCGGGCATCTCAATTAGCCCATTTAACCCACTCAGGATTATGGAGGGAATTGCTCAGCGGGTGATCTTTAAGACTACTTTTAAGAAGTTAGCGAATTTAAGATTATGGAGAGTAAATTAACTAAAAACATTTAATCATATTAATTACTCTGACATTAATATTCAAATTACTGTTTAAGACTTGTTTTAACGTTTTTTTTGATTTGATTAAAATTATGTTTTAAAATTTGACTTCAGACAAATTTATATGATTGATTATCTACAAAGATCTATTCATAAATCCAACATTTTGTTGTTTTAAGCTAAAAATATTTTAATAAATCATAAATCACTTTATTCAAAAATCACGAAACAACTTTGCAGGTATAAGAATTCAGAAAATTCCCAACCAATGGCCAAAAATGCTTGCAGTTGCAATATTCTTATTTAATAAACAGCCCCGTGTGTTTTCTTCGAATGCAGGCAATTTAAATGTCATTCCCCATCGAAAAGTAAAAGTAATTGCTTGGCCGCTCAGATTTGGCCATCTGTTTGAAATGAAATTTTTGGCAGGCAGGAAAAATACTTGGTTGTAGATCTGAGTTCATGGTTCGGCCAATATTTGGCAATGCATTGCAAATGAATAGCTGCGGGGTAATTTTTTAATATATTCGCTTTAGTCCGTAATTTGCTACCTTTTTCGCTTGATTGGCGTACAGAAGAAAGTGCCAAGAGAAGATTCGTCATGCGAATCAGGGGCTAAATCGGAGTCAAGTCAGCTATGAATAGAACGCCGAGTGACACCAACGCTCCAGACAGACAAGCCGCTTGTCTAACATTCGGATTCGGGTTCAGATCGGAGCTCAGATGTAAATCCGACTGTCTGGGCAAAAAAAAACGTTAAAGTCAGCGGGCGGAAGGCGGGGCAGCTGCCGCGATCGCAGATACCAGACTTGTCCCACTGGCCTGCTCGAAGCCCATGAGACTGTAGGCGGTTGAATATGGGACAAACCGTATCGAAATCACTTCTCTCAATATAATTAACACATTTGTCGCGAGCACATATGCAAGGCAATTAATAATAAGTGCGATTGTTGGTCATTGCAAATCCCAAATTATTGAGGGGTAATCGAATTCCGCCAGTTTGATAGCAAATCAGTAAACAGTATTACGTGAAACTAAACAATTCCATTTTTAACCTTTACCAAAACCATGGACTTCCAGATGCCTAGCTTGTGTTACATTTATATCCCAACAAATATGAATTTCCATTTCCTTTATTTACTTATTTGTTGATAATAACTTGTTGATAAATAGAAACCCAAATATAGACCTAAAATTCTATTCCGAATAGAATCGTTGTTTAAGTTTTGAGTAAAAATAAGAATTATAAATAAATATAAAAATAATTTAAAACTTATTATACATTGAGAG